TTGGTACTAAGCATACCCATTTTTCTCTCTCTCTCTCTCTATATATATATATATATACTCTTAGTATGGTATAGATACTAAGATATAAGAATATAAATATATGTTGATGTTAAGTTATAAAACAATGAAATATATTGGTTGGGGGTGAGGTTGATTAAGGGCCGCTCATTTCTCCGAATATCTGATTTTGAGTTTAGTAGTATATATATATATATACTCTTAGTATGGTATAGATACTAAGATATAAGAATATAAATATATGTTGATGTTAAGTTATAAAACAATGAAATATATTGGTTGGGGGTGAGGTTGATTAAGGGCCGCTCATTTCTCCGAATATCTGATTTTGAGTTTAGTAGCTTCAACCTGCACAAATAGAAACTCATAAGAGGACAAGACTTGGTTCCTCCATCGGTCCCTCCTGTTGGACCAATTGGAAGTGGGAGTCACTCTCGGGGGTGGGGGGGGGGGTCCTCTCAGCTACTCCTACCTTGCAGGGGGCTTCTAGCCGACTCTGATGTCGAGCGTCACTGCCGGTTGTTGCTTTAGTACGCGCGGTGCAATAGTGGCGCTGGTGCTGCTGGCTGAAGTCGTGGTTGTTTGAGGTCTTTGTGGCCATGGCTATCACCTTATAAGCTCGGGCATCCTCCATGTTCATGTACCCATGAGCTTTGACCATCATCTATTCATAATTGGCGACCATCTTCTTAGCAAGCGAGTCGGCAAACTCGTTGCTCTGCAAGCCGGCCATAAGGGCGGACATAGCGACCACACTCCCTAGGTCATTGACCTCCATTCTCTTCGCCTTGAACCTCTTGAAGTAGGCTCGAAGGATCTCTTTAGGCCCTTACCTCATCTGTATTAGCACATGAAGAGGCAACTGAAGTAGTTTGATGTGGCTGTGGAAGCCAGCTGAGGAGCTCACTGGTGAATGTTGCGAGTTGCTATTGGAGAGATTGAGAAATCTGCTGAGCCGTTTCTTCAAGTTGAGCTTGAGTATCGTAGCTTTGATGTGGTCCTACTAGGCGAGACTGATCAACCTTATGCTCAGAGCCAGACATGTTTTCTCAAAAAAGAAAGAAGGCCCTATGGTGTACGCCAATCTGTTGATGTTAAGTAACCAATCAGTCAAATATATAGGGGGAGATTGATTAGGGGGCCGCTCACTTCTTCGAATATCTAGTTTCGAGTTTAGTAGCTTCTAGCTTGCACAAATAGCAACTCGTGAGAGGACGGGACTTAGTTTCTCCGTTGTACCTCCGACGATCAAGTCAGCTGGTGAACTTGAGTGGGAAAATGAAGAATTGCGTGAGCTCTTTTTACTGCTAAGCAATTTCTAAGTAGGCTATTTTTCCAAGCAATATCTGCTAATTATACTGCACTATAATAAAGCGCTCACGCAGTTTTTCATTTTCCCACTCAAGTTTACCAGCTGACTTGATCAACGGAGGTACAACGGAGAAACTAAGCCTCGTCCTCTCACGAGTTGTATTTGTGCAGGCTAGAAGCTACTAAACTCAAAACCAGATATTCGAATAAGTGAGTGGCCCCCTAATCAATACCCCCCCATATATTTGACTGTTTGGTTACTTAACATCAACAATATATATAATGTAGTTATAAGTATACTTATATGTGTATATTATAAAATTACAGTAATATAAGTATAATTGTATATAAGTATATTGCATCTAGTATATATAAAAGTATATCATATAAGTAAACTGTATTACTGTACTTAAATAAGCATAATGTAAGTATGTAACAAATACATATATAACTATATAATACATATTTATAAATAAGTAATATATACAAATGTGTTTCTCTCTCTCAAGTTATAACTTATAAGTATATACAATATATTTACATATAATATATGTATATATAATATATAGCTATATAATAATATGTAAGCATATACTAATACATACTTATATAAATATAATAAGATTAATCTAATTTTTTAGCAATTTTACTTAAAAAAAAGGAAAAAAAGAAAACAACCGGCTTGGCCCGGCGCCCGGGCTGATCGAGCCCGGGCCCGATTTTCCAGTCCGGGCCGGCTCGTTAGGACAAGGCTAAAAATACCTTTCTATATTTGCCAAAGCTCTGCGGTTAGTACAGTGTGAGTGTAAGAGCTCTTCGGCACATGCATTTATTTATGGATTTTTATCAAATATCATGTCTACCCTCACACGGGTGGGTCTAATTTCTTTATTTTCTATATCTGATTTCTTTAGTCTCTATTAAGTATCTTCTTTGAGTATGTATGTGCTTCCAAATCCAATTGCAATGAATTTTTTTATTTGGATTATTTCTCTTTCTTGTATATTTTTAATCTGTACTCCACTTTTCTTATGATATAAGGCTAATATATAGGATGAATATGATATTACTCTTTAAATTGCTTCATAATGTTGTGAACATAGTTTGTTAGATGAAAAATCAGATTACTTGAATCAGAAATTAAAAATTAGATAGGGTGAGCTGGATTTTTTTTCTTAGTTATCTTGAAATTCAAAAGGAAATTCAAAATAAGAGCGTAAATAGCTTTTAATACTTGTTATAACAATATTTATTGCAACTTATTTATTTTAGTCGTAAACATTAGCTTATTGTAACTTACACACATACATGATAACATTGTTTGTCTCCATTCTTTAGTATTATGTGATGAATAACTAATGACAATTACAACTATATGCTATAAGTTTCATCTCATGTTCAGAACAAGGGGATTTAAAATGTTCTCTCATGTTTGTCATTGGTGCAAACCATTTGTGCGCTTAATTCATAAAAAAGCTATGTACTCCAAGCAGAAAAGAAGCAACATGAAAAGAAAAGAAATTCATCACCATTCAATTTAAAATGAAACCTCACATGAAACAAAATTTTGATATATAAATCAAAGAAATCAGATCCACCTCTGCAAGAACGAGCATAATACTTGTGAAAAGAACACAAATTGGCTTCGTGTCAACAATTTACAAGCCTAATATAAAACATGATTAGCCTCACACCGACAACTTACATGCCTAATAAAATAAAAATGAGTCTCACGCTCAGAAAGTCACGTACCCAACAATATTCATGCCTTACATTAGATGCTTCTTCGAGGCTACTGAATTTATTGGTCATCTGATGTATGAAGGCAGGGCAGCAATAGAGTCATCCTCAACCAACTTAGCTCTAGCTTTTGGCTACTACCAATTGAAATTTGATTAGTATAAAAAAATTCATCACCACCCCTTTCGATAATTATAACACAAGGAAATAGCACAAAGATTTTAACTAAAGAACTATTATATAAAACTAAATCACCACATAGGAGCCCTTATCCACCACAATCACCACCACCACCAACATCACAAACATAAAACTGAATTACTAATAACCATTCACTGTTTCCATTTATGGGATCTAAAACCACATATAAAAATACAAGAAAAATGATTAATAATACAAATAATATAGTTCAAACAACCCACCATCCAAACTCTTGTTCAAGATCAATCTTCATAGGTTCTGCACTCATCAGTCTCCGGGTTATCCTTGCAGTAGGCCTCCAGAGGATCAGAATCCTTCGCCTTGTCGCGTGCATGGCTTGCCGCAGCACTGAGCTCCTCCACCTCATCCCACGCAGCCGCACACTCTCCGCTTTCATTGTCGCCTGCGCATGCCTCCTTTGCCTTTTCAATGCTCTCCTCTACCTTGCCGGATATACCTGAAGGCGTTGGCGTGCTGTGGACAGGCTGTACGGCCACCATGCGACCTGCTCCATAGCCGATCTTGGTGTTCCAGGACACAAGGCTCCGTTTTGGAGCTTTTGGGATCTCTGACTTGCTGGAGATGACTCCTCTTGGTGTTGAGAGGCTTACACCGGAGAGAGCAGCGGCCATTGCTTTCTTCTCTACTTGGTTTTTGGTTTTATTGTTTAGTTTGAAGAAGATAAAGGATGGTGCAATAGAGGGAGGGGTTTTTGATGGGGCGGGGGATCTTCTCGGGTCACTCATTTCTTATCATTTGGTGGCCAATGGGAGGAGGACAAATAAGTGGGTCTGCAGATATTTTTACTGAATATGTCAAATTTGAACTAGATGGGGGGGAAAAATCTATATATATGGCAAGATGCAGAGCGTAGGGGCCAGATTATAGACCTTTTTCTCAAATCAACAGATGAGTAATATTGGGTTCTCATGTTTGATGAGGACATGGTTGATGTAATACTAGATATTTGCTAGTTTTGTGTCCACGTCCTTCACCAAGCGTCCATACATGTGTTAGCTTAGGTAAGTAATTGGGATGTCATTTTTCTTTACCCACAAGTGTAGCTCTGTAGTTCATTCAATTAGTCATAAGACGCAATCATAATTTAGATATTATTCATGAGGCGTAGCTTGGATGGCAAAGGGTTAGGTTCGTTTCAAGGAGAGGTAACTTTACACAACTTTTCCCCCCAAAAGAAAATAAATAAAATGAAATTCTAAGAGCAAATTTCACAAAACTACCACAAATTCTGTGAACTGCAGACAAATACCGTACGTGAATTACTCGAAATTTAAGGACATTAAATGCTTAGAGAAAAGGTCTAAACTATCCTTGAAAATAGGAGTGGAGAGAGCAAATATAGAGGATATCTAAAGTACATGAATACAAAATTGTTCACCAACATGTCATGTGAACAATTTACCTCAAAATGTCGCCAAACATGGTACTCCAGCGTACTAAATTCATATTTTCTATCAAAGTTCATAATAGTTTTGTCAATTTCTAAACATAGTTTTCAATAATGCTCCAAAATTCCACGAAACTAGAAGTAGGAAGTACTCTCCACAGTAAAATGAAAAAAACAACTAGGAATGGAAGATGAACTTGAGTTTTTATGCAGCTAAGATTTTATTTTTAGATTACTTTGTTTAATCCACCTCTTATTTGACAGTGTTGCAGTCACTGGTTACATGAGAAACCATCCTCCACAAGAAGATAAATTTTAAGATTCACCTGAACTCATGTTCCAGAAGTTAATCTCATGTGACAGAACACTTAGGAATACCTCTTCTGCCTTTGCAACTTCTTCACTTGCTGCCTTCTCCAGACACCTCTCCGCAATTCTCTGAAGAGAGTGGCTATACTGACCAAAGTAAGCATTTCCCCATCTTTGGCAAGTCTCCATAAGTTCTTCAGGAGTGTTGGAGCCATTTTCTAAGCAAAGGGAGAAGCTTTCTTGATACACAGTCTCAATGGCCCAAAAGGCAGAGATCGCGATGGTGTAGCTGACCTCTGGAGCAGTCAAGCCTTGCAGAAACCTGGAATAACACTCTAATGAATTAAACACCTTCAATTCTTTTGGTATGAATAGTTTATCGGTATGGGCGTAGATGTTTTCATTTGGACATCTTGTTTGGGCTACTGGATTTATGTTCTTAATTTCCTGGCGTGGATATTGGCAGGAATTAATTGAAACTTTAGCATGTGCTCATGAACGCACACCTTTGGCTAATTTGATTCGATGGAGAGATAAGCCAGTGACGCTTTCCATTGTGCAAGCAAGATTGGTTGGACTAGCACATTTTTCTGCAGGTTATATATTTACCTATGCAGCTTCTTCTCATTACCCCTCGGCTCAGGGAAAATTATCCCACAAGCAAAGGAATTGCATAGTACAAAATAACATAAAAACAAAAAAAATTCAAAAAAGATGTGCACCTCCCGCTCAAATTGTACCATTTTCGGACAAAAATAGATAGGAGACTTTTGATAGAATCAGAGTCAATTTCATATAAATTTCGTAGTATATAAATGAACGGAACTATTACTATTTCATCTATGTTGAATAACCAACCGCGCCCCATGCTGGACTTACATATTGTACTTTTCCAGTTAGTCCATAAGGATCGGACACCCATATTCCAGGATCATACAAACATGTTACATGAAATGCGCCAAAGCCAAAGCAAGCCACCACTGAAAGAAAAAAAATGAATTCCAAAAATCTTGGGCAAATCCAAAGAGGGTTTTCCCGTACGTTCATCACAGAATATTTCTAGGTCCTAATACACCCAATGCCAGATGGCCGTCAAAAAGCACAAGTTAGAAAACACAATATGTGATGTGCCCCGTCACACCTTTATAACTCCAAATACTCAAATTCGTTACAATTCCTCCTGAAATATTCCAACCATCCCACGAATTAGTTATTCCTAAATGAGTCATGAAGGGTATAACGAGCATACATTGTCTCCACATTGGGTCAAGAACGGAGTCAGAGGGATCAAAAACCGCTAACCTCCTTTTGCTGCTAGGATTGGAAATCCTGTATTTTACATATCCATACGAGCGAGTCCTTGGGTTTCCAAAATAGTGTAATGTAAAAAGAAGTGCTTTGAATCATTGCTATTTGACTCAGACTTGTTCTGAAAACGTTGAGATATTTTGAATTGTTTGTTGACACATACAAAGTAAGGGAAAACCTCTAAAATGATTTCAATATTGGACCTTGGACATATAATAGTTCCGACTTTGATCGTTACGGATTAGTACCAAGATCGAGTCCTAGGCAAGCAGACCTAATTTTAACAGTCGGGGCAGTAACAACGAAAATGGTTGCTTCTTTAGTGCGATTATATGAGCAAATGCCTGAACCAAAATATGTCATTGCTATGGGAGCCTGTACTATGCCTGAACCAAAATATGTCATTGCTATGGGAGCCTGTACTATTACAGGAGGGATGTTCAGTACTGATTCAGAAGATGTACTAGCAGTACATCAAAGATCCAGTCATCGATTCTCCCGATAGGCCACAATTAACGCGAGCAAATGAAGGCTCTTGCACGAAAACTACCATGCGTAAACCACTATTGCAAAAATTCTACTGGGAAAGCTGTAACTTATAACTTGGTCACTAGGGTGATGCAGGAAATAGAAAGTTTATGTGAACTTTCTCCTTATCTTGTTTTACTTATAATTTAGATCTCTCATTGAGGTCGTTTGATCAATTCATGTATTTTTTGACTTTCTCTTCTTGCTGTACCTGGTTGTGATACCCTTGTGGTTTCTGTTTAGTATCATTGCTTTTTAATATCAGCATTAAAAAGCAATATACAATAGTACAATGATTGGCAATTGTGCATTAAGGACTGGAAATGAAAGGAAACAGCAACTGATAATTACAACCCAGGGTTGTCATAAGAGAATTCAAAGAAGGTTCCTTGCAAACAATATCAATATCTATAATCCTAGTATATTTTAGAAAACAAATTAACAGCTAGCAGCCTAGCACTATTAAAGCTACTATCAGCCAAGTTAGTAGATCCGTCCAACAAAGAAATTCCTGTATGGCAGTGTCCGGTAGCTATTTGTGTGGCGCACGCATTTGGTGTTCTACAACTTTATGTAACAACTTGGATAGTTTTCTTAGCCAATAACTGCTTTACTGACAACATAGGCAAAAGACAAATATAAATTCCATCAAGGAAAATACTATGCTGAAGAAAACTACACAGATTGGTTGATGAAATACAATTTGCTCAGACAACCATTACCTTGTAGGTAATACCTAGGTGTACCGTTAGAAAGGATAAGATATGCATAATAAAATCAGTCAATGATTATATTTTTATCTGATAAATATTTTAAAAATATTTGCATGACACACAGTTCATTCTGATTCATGGGAAGGGAAACGGGAGCATGGTATGTCACTTATTTGGAATCAAGAATGAGGAGTGTAGGCTTATACAGTACAGCTAGGAAACATGGTTCTGCTTTAAGTTTGGTTTTCAAGTATGGAATCTGAGGATCTACAATAGTCAAATTCAGAAAAAACATGTTATTTGATATTTGTAATGGTAAAAGAACCCTGAGAATAATGTTGCAATTAATGTATGCATACTTTATTTGCTTAATTTCCTCACGCGTTTCATGTTTCTTTTTTCAGTTAAAACAGTTTGAAAATTTAAATGGTTTGAGTTATAGATCGGGCTACAGGAGTTAGCAAACTGTGTCGCGTTCTACCACAGTCCAGCTCGCAGACGTCCTTATTCCGGGACGATTGAACCCGGGTCACAGTTTGCTATAGCGTGTCATGCTCCCAACTATGATTTAGAACTTAATGCATATAAGACATAATCTCATATATACTCCTAGAGGTATGAGCGTGGTGCACATTTGTGTGCTTTTTTTTTCAGGGGTAGGGAGGTGGAGGATGGACGATTGGAGAAAACGGGCCAAGGCAAAGCTTAAACAGGAAATCAGAGTCCCATAAGTTATTCTGGTTCTCACATGGTGAGAGAAAAGGCATTTTCTTCTTGAAGATTGAGTTGCAGTAAACTATAGACATAAAAAACATACCTGCAGTATTCGACATTTGCCTTCTGAGAAGCAGTAGTAAGCAGATGAACATCCCATTTGGAAGCTTCCTTTTTGAACCATGAGAGCTCATCGTTTATAGAAGCCACACCGCCTAAAATTACTTCCATGTCAGATGGATCATCTGATTGCTGACAAGCCTTAAGCAGAACACTTGCCACAAACGGGACAAATTCCCTAACAAATATGTAGTCCTGACTCTACAGAAGCGTTAAAAAAGAAAGGAAAATTAAATTGTTACAGGCTAGGAAAAATGATCCAACAAACAGTTTTCACAAGACTAAAATTAAAAGACTAACATCATGGTTGTCAGAAGGGTATAAGCTTGCACATTGACACATCAACATTTAGGTTATCGGAATGCCTTGACTCGCTATTTAAATGTTAATACACAATTGCAGCTAATGATCCAGTATAAGACATTACTATAGATGTATAAATGACTATTAACAGTCTTCCAAAAAGGTCAGATAAACCGGACAACCAGATAGTCATATTACAAAAATGATTAACAACAGAGCCTGACATCTAAATATATTGCAAGAGTAGAGGTCACCCTTCCACGAACAGCAACGATGAAGAAAAGGAGAACCACCAATGCCAGCTTGACGAAGCACCTTGCTGATCATAACCTGATACTTGGGCTCCATGAGAACCACCAGAAGAACTATCATATGATCGCCTAGGTATGTCTTCAGTTAAGTAAATATATCATATCATACTCAATATATCATATCTATATTATATGCATTGTGACAGATATTCATGAATAGTTTACCACTACAACATATGTATTGAACTATCAATATTTTAAACGAAGGGAGTATCATCGTATTTTCCAGAAAAAGAAGAGTGCAGAACCAGTTGCAAGCTGGATTGTTTATATCCTCTTGAACCATATCTTGCCCATTTCCAGCAGCTATCGAATGACGTGGTCAATTGCAATTTCATTAAGAGAGGAAAAAAGGATAGTTATGATACTTAAGAAACACTTTTCAAAGGGGTACATCAGTACTGGATCGAAAGCGATTAGAAGTTGCACTTAATTTTCCCAAAAAATGATTTTATGCATTCCTAGCTAAAAATACTGAGATGCATGTTTTTTATTTAGTCCAGGTAGGTTATCTCGATTAGTGCAGGTAAGGCATCCGTCCAATTGAAGGCTAAAACAAATTGAAAAGTATAAGGAGTTAGCTAGAATAAAGAAGTACACTTTGTTAATCAAGATTGTTTCCTTGATTGAATTAAAAAAAGCATTTATTTGATTTCCGCAAAGGTAGTTTAGTAATACATGACATATATGTGCTAGAGTTTAGTAATACATGACATATATGTGCTAGGAATCCGGGTCAAAACCAATGTTTTGAAAAATGCGTTTGATAACTCATAACTTGTTTCATTATTAATGAGATAAAAATGTTACATAGCACAAGCAGAAAACACACAGGGCACTTAACGGCCAAAAAATGCGTTTTACAAGCATTTTGTTAAATGGTTATACAACCTAAGTTTTTTAAGGTTATATTGATTATCAGATTTGAACACATGGATCACTCTCCACTATCCAAATCTAATAACCCCCACTTTATCACTATGAAATCCCCAATCCTAAACCGTAGCGCCCTAAAATATCTCTTGACTTCCCTCAGTGACACGAGAACTTCGACGCGGAAACCTTCAACTACGGAAACCTTCAACAATGAGATCTCAGCAACGAAAGCCTAACTCCTCCATCTACATCTCTTCCCCTCCTCGTCTCCATCTCCATCGAGATCCACTCTAAGTCCCCATCTCAGCGATGAAATACCTCCATCTCCATCGAGATCCACTCCTCGTCTCCATCGAAACGATGCCCTAGCACCTCTAGGGAAATCTCAGTGCTCAAAGGCTGGCTAATTCTACACATCTCAGTGACAAAATCCCCTCGTCTCTCTCCATCCCTACCTCTCTCCGAAGGCTTTCTCCAGTGATTTGGCCAGAATAGCGAGGTAACAAGGTTTTACGTATTTATGATGATCTGTTTGAAAATTTTGATTATTCTGATTATTAAGTCATTGTGAATCGTAAATAATTAATAAATAATATAATCTATGTTATGCGTTATGCTTTTTGCATCTTTTTCCACAACCCTTAACAAGAGATAAGTGTTATCGTTATTTTCAACATTGGTCAAAACTAAGAGGAAAAATGAAGCATCTTGATGGCCCTTCCCTTTTGTCTGATCCTAAAGTTTGCTTTTAAATTTCATTTTAACGAGTAACGTTCCTCTGTTACTAAATATAACTCCAAGGAGCTTCTCGTACAAAATGGTTATTAGTTTAAAACTTTGCTGATCTGATGGTGAATGGAATGAGCAAACAGCAGTTGTGCGAATGATCTTGTATATGCATACATGTAGCTGACAGATTAAAAATAAGATCATCTTAACAGTGTATTTCTTGATATGAACAAATACCAGAGAAATATCATATCTGCACTGCAGAGCAACATATGGCATGATATCAATTATTTGCAAACAAAGGTGCCATCTATAACCAATGAGAAAAAATTTTCACATAATCTTTTAATGGTCAATGAGAAAAAAATTATCTTTGTTTGTGTTGAAAATTCCAACTATACTTCCCATTTAGTTTAGGACAATAATCATTATTCTATTATTGACCAGCAGCTCCAAAATACCCCTAATGGGTCAGAATCAAAATCCACAAGGACAGTCAGGAAGGCCAAATTTCAGTGTACTATAGTATCCATAATATCACATACACTGTGTGCCAAAATGTATCTCCCTTGAAATTCAAAATTTTTTAACCAAGGTGCCAAAATTGCCAGTGTAGTGAAAACATTTTAGTTACTTTCTCCAAGTTATTTACACATCATCCCAGAAAAATAATATTAAAAATTTAAATATTAAAAATATAGTACATAAATATCAAAATTTAGTTGTATCAATCATAATGTGTCATTGTGTGAGTGCATGACCTGTAAATTAGCATTCATGCAAAATAAGTATCTTAACAAGAATCAAATGGTCACAATTTCTACAAACCATTCATCTGCATGTAACATATTTCCAGATATTATATAATATGTAATATAGTATATAAATACAAATATATCAGGAAGAAAATTTTGAAAATCAGAAAATTTTGAAACTGGCTAAGTCTCTCATTTTGGTACAAAGATAACCAGCTAACCATCTAACAACCAACTCAGTGTGTTGCTCACAACTCCTTAAAGAAATAATTTCTGTGTAGTTACAAATATAGTTCCAGATTTCTTGACAACAAAGGTAATTGGGTAGGCGACATAATTGCATACTTTTCAGAAATATATGCTGCGACTTAAAGCCAAGCAAGTGATTGACATTGGGATAGAAACCACAATCAACGTGTCTATAACCATATATGCCACCTGATAAGCAAATAGTATTACAAATATGTAAAAGCTAAGGGAAAAAGTCTATGAATGTATGCATGCAATGCGCCCTGCGGCAAGAGGACTTTCCAGTGGATGATCAATAGATATTGACATGATGGTGGCAAAATTGAGACTATATGAATAATTCATACATCTTCCTTTGAAAAGCAGAGTTGGCTTGTAATGAAGAAAGCCTATCATATGCCATGTAATGTGCCCTGGGGCCAGAGGACTGTCCAGCAGATGTTAAATTGATATTGAGCTTAAGGGGGCCAAATTGATACTATAAGAATAATTCACACATTTCCTTCAAAAAGCACAGTTGTTTTCCTACTGAATTGACATTCCAGTTACATCTCTTTATACAAACATTTATGACTATACTAATGCTCACTCTCTTCCGCTATCATGTTTATGATAACCGATGTCATTATTTTATGCTACTTGTTGGGCTTTAGCTCACCAATTGTGGCTGCAACCAACTACACGGACAAGGAAAAGAATTACACAAAGCTTGCTGACTGAGTATGTGAAAGTAAATCTTGAAAGTGTCATTTTATTTTGGAATGTATATACACACAAAAGACATAAGTGTGGGTTGGGATCTATACATGTATAATATAGTTTTAAATATCGGCCGATAAATCGATATAATTGGCGATTTATCGGTTTTAAGCCCTTCCGCTATGATAAGTTCATATTTTAACCAGTTATCATTTTAGGGTAATTATCGGCCATAAGTCAATAAATCGGCCGAGTTTAGCGGTATAAATTAATAGAATTATCGGTTAGTGATCTTAAACATGCGTACTTACATTTGGTTAGTGATCTTAAACATGTGCGTTTACATTTTGGTATGTTTATATTTTATTAAGTTTCTACAGTTGGTTAGTTTATCTTGTTATTCGCTTGTATGTTATTCAAGATTATATTTTAGGACGTTATATTATGCATGCACAGTTGCACACCCATCAATATGACACTCTGATAAATACTACTTATACCCGATATATCCCTGATTTCCGCCATACGATATGGATTTTGACCGTCCGATAAATCCGCTATAAACAATATTTAAAATCTTGTATATCTTGAATAATGGTGGTGAATTAGTTTTCTCAAAGAATATTAGCTCCAATTTAAGTTGCATGAAGTTTACCAGAGAACTATTTAATCTACTGTTTGATGTCAAATGTTGTATATTAGCAGGTTTCCATGTTACAATCTGTCTGGGCGTGACATCTTTCTCTGTCTCTTCTATTCGCAGCGATACTGCAAACCCGTATGTAGGGCACATATGAAATGGCTGCTTTGTTGGCCAACAAATCACATTAAAAAGGGGAATCCTCGGGCCTTCTAATATGTAAATTTCTTTAATAAAATGTCTTAAGCTATTAGGGGATTCCTTTGGGTCCTCTAATAAAATTTAACAATTGTTTTCAAAACGAGGAACATAGAACCCTACTAACTGCTTAATAGAATCATATAAGAAAATATCACTATTCCAAATTATATTATCACCTTGCTTGCAAATATGAAATTCAAAAATCTATTAACATGCTAGATATATAACATGCTAGATATATAACAAGTAAAATCTGATCTCTGTCTCACAACTAATACTAGAGTCTTTAGCTTCATGGCATGACCTAAACTGAAATCCTATTGGCTTTAGTTGTCTAGTAACGAATAATTTGGCTGCCACCTGTCCCGCTAATAGAAAAAGTACAAGTAGGATCCAACTCAGGGCACACTTGTTAGCTACAATTCTCTTTTGTCTCATAAAAAAATAGTGGTCAAACAATCTGCAATCACCAGGACTAGCTTCACTTGCCTTAGCAAATACAGTTACTCTTACTCTTAAGCTTCAAAATCCTTACTTTGGGGAGCTAATTTGTTTACTTTCTTGATTATAAGTTAGGTGCTAAAGCCTAATATACAGAGGAAATAATTTTCCTTGATCAGCAAGAGTTTATATAATCTATGCCCCTGAAAAGAGCATGATTAAGAGTTTATACTTCAGTCCCTCACTCCTAATTTGGTCATTGCTTCTACCCCTAACCCCTTTATATGGATAAATTATCCTATTCATTAGGCCAAAATGAAGATCCCGCTAAAATTCAATTTCATGATAGAATGTCTGTATTTAATGTTTGGCTAGTTCATCAAGCTAAAGCAGCAAAAGAATTTCAAATGACAAAATCTAGTTACCATCAAGTACGATCTTTCTCATATGGACAGGTCGACGAACCTCATCAACCATGTATTATTAGGCTAAGCCAAAGTCATGCCAAGAAAGAACATATATGCATGTTTTGACAGTTTGCGGAAAAGATCAGGTTAAATTCATTCAAAATTGTCAAGCACAACATGACTCCAACTACACACTAATTATTAAAGTTGCAACTCTAGTCAATAAAATACTATATCCAAATTGATGTAGGACAAATTTGAAAAATAGATCTGCAGACTGATGCAGATAGTGTTGTTAGTAATTCAAATTTGATATTTGAATTTTATTTTAGGACTTTAGTTTTGATTTATATATTTAGTTAGATTTGAATTTTCAATTAGTAGTTTGAAATTTATTTTCATTGCGACAGAGTTGTTGCGGATGTTGAACTGTAGTAGGATTGGATGAAGATTTGTATTTTGAATCACAGATTTAGATTTCAAAGTTTAGTATAGATAGGACTTTGAACCCTATCTAAATGGGTCATTATTTTCATGGAAAAATTTTAAAAACCATCCTATTTACAAAAATATTTGCAAAAAACGACCTATTCTAAAAAAATTTATTAAAACCGACCCAGTTTCAGCCGTTTCAGTCGTTAGGCTAAAACTGAGTCGGTTTTGACGAAAAAAAGTCTGAAACTTCACGGGACTTGAAGTCCCGTGAAGTTTAGCAACCTATAATGACTTTAATTAAGGACGACAATTCTTTCACGGGACTTCAAATCCCGTAAAAATTTTAGATTAAAAAAACTTTACAGGACTTCAAGTCCCATGAAGTTTGAGCTGAGAATTTAACGATGCAATTTGAGGCTTTGGCCATACACTGATTGGAAGCGTTTGAGGATTTGATGGCACTAGAGAATGTAGCAGGAGAAGTGAGAAGAGAGTGAGGGAGCAAAAATTGGCCATTTGGGACTATCTATTATGTGTGTTATGTGATTGTGAGTTGGGATTTTGGGAGATACTTAAAGGTTTTCGGGGGGCGATTATTGGGGATTTGGGATTGTTATGGTTGGAGGTATTTGTGAGCGGATTCTGAGGTTGGAGAGCGTGTCAGGTGGGGTTTTGAAGCGTGGAAAGCTGCCGAGTCTGCTGTTGTTATTTGTCGAAAAGTTGTTTTCACAGTTGTGGGCCTGAGACTTAGTAAAATAAACTTCACGGGACTTGAAGTCCCGTGAAGTTTTTCTAAACTAAAAAATTTCACGGGACTTGAAGTCCCGTGAAAGAATTGTCGCCCTTAATTAAAGTCATTTTAGGCTGCTAAACTTCACGGGACTTCAAGTCCCGTGAAGTTTCAGATTTTTTTCATCAAAACCGACCCAGTTTCAGCCCGACGGCTGAAACTAGGTAGGTTTTGACCATTTTTTTTAGATAGGTCTTTTTTTGCGAATATTTTTGTAAATAGAATGGTTTTCAAAATTTGTCCTTATTTTCATTGTAATTAGGGAGTATAAAAAAATTATAAAATAAAGTTGAGAAAGGTTTTATCATGAGATTTGCTGATCTGGTGGGCATGTGATTGTCAATGCGTAAAGCTAAAGAAAAGGTTAGATGTTATGTGTGAATTCGATGTAATTGTAATTTATCTTCGTTTTATTTGTTTCCCATATCAATCTAGCCATTTGTTGTTTTCCATAAAACCAAATCTTCTTCCCAATTAAATTGCAATTGTATCCGCTATCCAAAAGAAAACAATAAATCACTTCCTCCAAAACAGCCACACAAAAATGAACAGCCAAGTGTCCCTTTAGTGCTAGGTGACAACTTGTTAACATTATTTTTCAAAAGAAATCAGAAAAAAAAAGCATTACTCTTTTCTCCTCTTTGTGATCAATTAAATTGTTGTTGATCACTTTAGACAAGTCCCTCACAGTTTCGCGTCAAAAATTCTATAAACCATAATGTAATCAAGCTAAGATTAAGTCCAAAACATAATTATGGACCGCAAAATCATTAAACTAAACTTAATTTGAAAACCTCATAATTATGGCCCCAATAGTGCTTAAAATAAAAATAACTCAAATGTGGATTCTATAAAATGGAATTTCCTTATGCTAAACAAAACTACAAAACTTCCAAATCATGACCCAAAACATCCCCAGACTAAACAAAACTACTACACCTTACATTATTGAGGTGTCCTTGCTCCCTAATCTAAAGAAATTACAAAGATCCAAACTATTGAGTAGAACACTTCTAAACTAAATATAAATTACGAAATGTCAAATTACACACTAAAATGTCCCTAAATCAAAAAAGTTACAATTTCTAGATCCCATGGATGAGAATGTCGTTAAACAACATCCAAATTTAAATCTTAATGACCCTAAATCCCAGGGATTCAAATGTCCCAAAACTAAAAACCAGATAAAGTCTACGGATCAGAATGACCGTAAACTAAGAATTTGGATCTCATTGACCAGAATGTCCCTAAACTAAAACATCAAAATTAAAGGACCAAAGATGTCCATATATGCTAACTAAAATCGAAATGATTGAGATGCCTCTTCCATTTTAAATATAGCTTCGTACAATGGAAGTTCCCAAATCAAGACAGTGATATGAAGTTCAATGACACAAAATAAAAATACACTTCTTGTTTTAACAATGTAACTTGGGGGGTATGCCCACAGTTAAGCCTTGTAGTTTATACGGAATTCATAAAGAGTACATGTTATACTAAAATTTTATGACACAAATAAATAAAGATTCACTGAGGCAAAACTCCACAATAGGAACTTGGGCAAACACGAGTCTAATAACAATAACGAGCCTCACAAGGAAGAGAGACAACATCGAAAGTTATAAGGCCCGCTTGGGAAAATTTACATGAATAATGAGAAGAAATTGAAATAGGAGAGAGAAGAGGAAAAGGAAGCTTACGAGCCACCGCCTGAAAGCGGAGATATCGACGGTGCCGTCTCTGATGCTGAGGATGAAAGGATGGCGCGTAGCCTTATCGTAAATCGGACGGTGCCTGTCCTTCTCCTGCAGCTATCGCCGACGCCGCCTCCCTCCATTTCCCTTTCTCCTCCTCGTTTAACTTCGACTCCTGAAGCCGAAGGGCGTTTTATTTTAAGTCATGGGCCTAATCGCCCTATTAGTTAATTTGGGCCTAAGGCTGCATCGTGTAATCAAACTAACGGAAGAGGTTTGGGCTGAGCTAGGCCGACTGTTCATAAAGGACAAATATGTTGTAGAGCAATTTTAATCCGCTTTTCTATGGCTAAAATTGCAGTTAAATACGTTGTAGTTGACCAAAGTTTGCACTTATATGCTCTTAGTTGTTTATTAATGCATTTAAGCACCCTAATATTTTCTAAAACGGCTTGTTAGTATCGTGATAGTCTAGGTCTTCTGACGTATCAAAGGGGGAAAAAAGAGAAGGAGGAAAAATAAAAAAAAAGAAAAAAGCTTCGTTTTACCCTTCTCTTTGAATGAGGAGAACATGCACCATTGTCCACTCGTGATAATCTAGGTCTTAAAGTCATCATTGGATCATTAGCTCCTGAAAATAACTACTCCTCTAGTAAATGTAGGATAAATATAAAAAATTAACACTTCTCCCTCATCCTCCATCACCTAAGCTAGCCATTCATTAATTGCTCTCATGATATCCTTCAATGACATGGGATCAATGATATCCCACCAATCACAACGACCTTTACCTGTTGGTACAAACACCAGTTTCCTTCTTTTTAGTGTGGATCTTTAAAAAAAAACCAAACAAATGAAATAAACTAATAGTTATTAGTAGCAACTTTCAGATTATGTTGAGGCGAGCTTTGAGAGGAGACCCTTGAAAGGGAAACCGAAGGCTGAGGTCATTGACGTCCTGGAGTTGATGCTCGATGAACCCCTTGAAAGGGAAACCGAAGGCTGAGGTCATTGACGTCCTGGAGTTGATGCTCGATGAACTCATAAGCCTCCTCTCTTATGCATTGACGTCCTGGAGTTGATGCTCGATGAACTCATAAGCCTCCTCTCTTATGTTGGTTGAAGGCGAAAATTCGAAAATTGATAGGCTTTGTGGGTCGCTCATTAGCAGAGCAGATCTTGGATCTGACTTTTTTAGCTCTAAAATGGTTATTTCGAATACCTCTCGCGTGAGAGTTGCTGTGTAACGGCTAGCCGAAAAGGCATTATCCAAGTGATCCCTCACAAGGCCTTTGTATTCGTCAGGATTGAGTTGAGGCGGAATCCTGTGAGATAGATCTGCCTCAAGCTGTTGTATTCGCGAATAGAGCGCTGCTTCCGTGCCAGTGTTCTGTGCGCGCACATGCGCGCCAGCGCTTCTTCTTCCGGTTCCGGCTCCATAAGATCGTTGATATAAAAAGCATCATCGGTTCCTGTCGTTGACTGAAAGGAAGATTCTGTCCAGGTGGTTGAGCTGTCTCGGGTTGCGGATTCGATCGGGCATCAATGTCAAATGTTTCTTACATTCTCAAGCATGCTCTAATTGACAAGTTAGTCCAAGAATCGTAACAGCTTACTATCACAAACCAGGAACTGAGCCTCCATAAGCAAGCTACCAAATTTTGAATTATATATGTGCAGATGTAAGTGTTGCGCGCCTTTGCGGAAGCGTGCTCGCACACCGAACGAGTCCGTAAGCACGGGAGAAGATTAACAAACCTAACTCGAGTACAATCCAATCTAAATATGACAAGCCAATCACAAACACATATATTTTACGTGATTCGGCAATTTACCTACGTCTACGGGAGCGACACAAATAATTTCTTATTAATCACAAGAAATTACAAATAAGAGAGAAGATCTCAAGCTTGAGATTTCTCAATCAAATAGCGGATGATTTTAATCTAAAATCACCGCTCAAACTCTCTCTTAATTACTCAACCCCCTTCTTAAATCACAGCCCCTATTTATTACAGAGGGTAGAGGACAAATCGGGCTCACACGCAAAGGGGAAAATCGCTGTCGCTAGAAATTTTGCTCCCAGCTCTCTGTCCGCTCAAAAGAATCGCAAGAATAGAGTTTCCCTTTTATAGGGAAACCCTAGATCTCCTTTGGCTATAGCACAGGCGAGCCCCATCAGGCGACTCCCCCTCGCCTCGCCACGCCCGCCCGCAGGCGAGATCCACACAGGCGACCTTTCTCGCCCTCGCGTCGCCAACATGCGAGCTTCCTCACCGTCGATCTACATGCGAGCTCCTCCTTCGAGCTCCTCCTTCGAATCGAGGTCAGTTCTTCAATTCTCCACCTCGTCCATTATTTGATAAACCTTAAATTTGGACGAACACCAGAAGAACACCGTGAACGGCAAAACAGGCCCAAAACAACTGCACTATTATACCATGGCTGCCTACGTACCCTCTGACTGGGATCAAGCAAATCGTAGTTCTGCCAAATGGCCGCCAATGGCCTCAACAATTATAAATGTGCAACAAGTTTCGATAATGATCAAACTTGTTGCTCAAAATCGCCTTTGTGAGCATATCCGCCGGATTATCCTTCGTGTGGACCTTCACTATCTCCACATCTTCATCTTTAAAAACACCCTGAACGAAGTGATAACGAACGTCAATGTGCTTCGTCCTCGCATGAAAACCTGATTCTTCGCCAAATAGATAGCACTCATGCTATCACAATGAATAGTAACGGACCGCTACGATATACCAAGTTCCTCCAAAAGTTCTCGAAGCCAAATCGCCTCCTTAACAGTCTCCGTAATTACTATATACTCTGCCTCCATCATAGACAAAGCTACCGTAGACTACAAGGTACATCTCCAACACACCGGTGTACGGGTTAAAGTAAACACATATCCCGTCATAGACCGACGCTTATCTAAATCTCCAGCATAATCCGAATCAACATAACCAATACACAACTGCCCACTCTAGTGTCCCGCTCGTAAACCAAACTAACATTGAGCGTACCTTGAATGTACCTTAAAATCCATCTCATGGTGTCCCAATGACTCACTCCTGGATCTTGCATGTATTTCGAAACCATGCTCACCGCCTGTGATAAATCTGATCTCGTACATACTATCGCGTACATCAAGCTCCCAACCGCGCTCGTATATGGAGTCTTTGACATCAACTCTCTATCTTCAACTGCCTTCGGGGTCAGCTGGAAGCTTCAAATGGGATCCCAAAGGTACACTAACTGGCTTTGTTTCCATGCTAACATTAAGTCGCTGTAGAACCTTCTTCAGATAAGCCATCTGTGTCAAACAAATTCTGTCATTCTCTTTGTCTCTGCCGATCTCCATTCCCAAAATACGCTTAGCCTCACCCAAATCCTTCATCTCGAATTCCTTTGAAAGCTTTGCCTTCAACTCATCTATAGCGGATCTGGAAATAGAAGCAACCAACATGTTATCGACATAAAACAACAAATAAATGTACACACCTCCTTTTAACTTACGATAATATATGTAAGGATCAAACTGGCTCCGAGTATACGAATGACTGATCATAAATCCATCGAATCGCCTATACCACTATCGAGGAGACTGCTTCAAATCGTATAGTGATTTCTTCAACCTACAAACTAATTTATCCTTCCCTACAGCTCAGAATCCTAATGGCTGAGTCATATAAATTTTTTCATCAAGATCGCCATGAAAAAATATCATCTTCATGTCCAACTGATCTAACTCCAAACCATACTGTGCCACCAAATCTAGCAAAATCCGAATCGAAGAGTGCTTCACCACAGGAGAGGAAACCTTATTGTAGTCAATACCTTCCTCCTGTGCATAACTCTTCGCAACCAACCTAGCTTTGAACCTCATTGGAGTGCCTTCAATGCCCTCCTTCTTCGTGTATACCCACTTACAACGAATCGCCTTCCACCCCTTTGGAAGCTCAACAAGCTCCAATGTATCGTTCTTGTGAAGAGACTCCATCTTCTCCTACATAGCCACTGTTGGCCTCTTTATTTTGATGATGTTTAACAAATAATTTACCACTAATATTGTTTGCCTAGTGTTGGTATATTTCTATTTATTGTAGACAAACAACGTGTTAGAGGATGGATAGAATTACGCATTCACGATCATATCCAATGGAGGTTGGCGAAATTGTGGAGTGAAGCCTACGCAATTCAAAGTTAAAGATTCAAGTTCAAGCTTCATCCGTAAGTGTACCAAGATAGAGCTTCGTTGAAGATCACAAGCTTGAGTAATTTAGTTTAGGAGTTTATATTATGTGTGTTAGTACCTTAAGCTCAATATAATATACATACACACATTTTATTGGTTTCTTTGTGTGTGTATATATATATATATATATATATATATATATATATATATATATATNTATATAGTTCAATGAAATCATGTTTTTAGTGCATTATATGTGTATTTTGATAAAATACTATATTCATTGTTTATAGACTTCATAACAATAGTTTACATCTTTCTTTAAGTCTATAAAATTATTTTGTAATGTTTCAAAACATGGTTAAGCTAAAATGTCAAAACTCATATGTTTACATTTTCATGTTTTTGAACATATTTGTAAAATGATGATATTTCTCATTTGGGAGGTCTTTTCTAAAAACCAATTTTTGTGGCATATGTATTATCATATCTACAATCATTTTCTAAAGTTTTATATTTTTCTGAATTTATTTGATATTTTTAAACATGGTTTTAAATCAGAAAAACTGCTTACAAAACTGTTATTTTTATATATCTGTTTGGGATCGACCGCCACAGTCGACCGTGCTTTTGATTTACCTTATGGAGCCAGCAGAGACTTTCGCGGGCGACCGTGATGGTCGACCGTCAAGCTAAAAATTCCCACGGTCGATCGCCACGGTCGACCGCAGATATTTCTGAAAATTTTCTCAGTCTCTAACATGGCTCGCGGTCGACCGCGAGAATTTCACGATCGACCGCCGTATGCCCAACATCACTTTTTGTATAGAATCTGAAAATCTTTTTCTGGGTTTTTGGGGGATTTGGTTGGGGGTTTTGCTGTTGGTTTCTCTTCCTATATAAATTCT